TAGTAAGGACTATAGCTTTTTTTTTTTTTTTTTTAATTGAAAGTAATAGATTTCCTTTTAGGACTATAGCTTTTCATAGCAACTAAATGCTTCAGTCCATCATAAAAATAGACATATTAAAAACTAAAACACATTCCCATTTCATGAAGGGTAGGAGCTGGATAAAATCCATCTGAAGGTGTCCAAGGATCTTGGAGGCTTTGGTTCCAGGCCATGTCCCACCTTTAGTTTTGTCAAGATTATGATTATAGGTGACACATGACCTAAAAATAACCTGTTAAAAAGTTTTCTTTTTAAAGTTTATTTACCAATGTTAATTGAAGATTGTAACCAATTTGTATCATGATGTGTAGTTTCATGGAAAAATGTAGCTATCATCTGAAATCATCTGGCACCACCAAGTGGCCATCTTGGGAGCACCAGTGATGATCTGAGTGAAGGTTACATTTTTTAACATTCTTCTTTTTCAGAGTCACGGGCTAAACCTTGATATTCTATAGTGGCCTCTCTGAATTCCTCCAGAGATTTATCCTTTGAGGGTTTAGTTAGGAACCTCACCTGGGTTAAGGCTGCTTGTTTGGCCTAATGATCTGCTAGTGCATTTCCTTTCACTTCCATATTATCTCTTTTGTATGAGCCTCAGCCCTTATAATAGCCACCTCTCTAGGAAACAGGAGTGAATCCATAAGTTCTTGTTGTCCATTTTTTATTTTATTTTATTTTTTATTTTTTTATTTTTTTGCGGTACGCAGGCTCTCTCACTGCTGTGGCCTCTCCCGCTGTGGAGCACAGGCTCAGGACGCGCAGGCCCAGCGGCCATGGCTCACAGGCCCAGACGCTCCGCGGCCGCGGGATCCTCCCGGACCGGGGCACGAACCCACATCCCCTGTATCGGCAGGCGAACTCCCAACCACTGCGCCACCAGGGAAGCCCTGTTGTCCATTTTTGATGGGGATTCTAGGAGAGGTTAGGAAACCTTTGTTTCAAAGCATCTCAAAGTCATGTTCTGATCTCAAGCATATCTCCTATCTGTGTATGTGCTTACCCTCTGGTCTTCGGCCAGTCGACTAACTGTAGAGAGTAAGTGCAATAACTTCTGCCATCTGGGCTGACTGTAACTCAGGTAGAGGACTACATTCTAAAGAGAACTTAAATTAGTGACACCATATCCTTCTTGATAACCTTTGGTTTCATATTTGAGATATGCTTCATCAACAAAAAATATTAGTTCAGAATTCTTAATTGGAGTCTCTAGTAAATCTGTGCAAGGCACAGAAAGTTTCCTAACTAAGGTAAGACAATCATGAGGTTCTCCTTCTGTTAGGGGCAGGTGTGTGGCAGGGTTCAGGATGCTGCAGTAGTGAACAGAAATGTGAGAGGGAGAGAGTAACAGAATATAACATAATAAGATGTTAATTAGCAGGCTGACGGTGTAAACTCTCTCTTTTCACAGATGACATGATCTGATACGTAGAAAATCCTAAGAAATACACTAAAAAACTACTGGAATAAATGAATTCTGCAAAGTTTCTGGATACAATCAGATCAATATACAAAAATCAATAATATTTCCATACATGATCCATAAAAGAAACAAACCAATAAACTGGACTTCACCAAAACTGAAACCTTTTGGCTGGTGAAAGACCCTATTAAGAGGATGAAAAGACAGGCTACAGGCTGGGAGAAAATACTTGCAGACAACTTATTTCAAAATGTACTCCCATCTAGAATATACAAAGAACCCTCAAAACTCAATAGTAAAAGAAACCAAACAATCCAACCAGAGAGTGAGCAACCATTTCACCAAAGAGGACATACAGATGGCAAACAAGCACATGAAAAGACATTCAAACATCATTACCTATTAGGGAAATGTAAATTAAAACCATGATGATTTATCACTACACAGCTATTAGAACAGCTTAAAAAAGTGTTTTTTAAGTGACAATTCTAAATGCTAGTGAGGATCAGAGGAAGTAGATCTCTCACACATTGCTGGTGGAAATGTAAAATGGTACGGCCACTATGAAAAAGTTTGGCCGTTCTTAAAAAACAAAACATACCTTTACCATGCAGTCTCACTGCTTGGCATTCATTCCAGAGAAATGAAAGCTCATGCCCACACAAAAACATGTACATGATGGGTATATACCTCTAAGTATTGAAAGCAGGGACCTGAAAATCTATTTGTACCCCATGTTCACAGCAGTATTATTCACAATAGCAAAAAGGTAGAAGCAACCCAACTGTCCATTGGCAGATGGATAGATAAACAAAATACAGTAGATACATACAATGGAATATTATTCAGCCTTTAAAAAGGAAGGAAATTCTGACACATGCTACACAAGGATGAACCTTGAGGACATTATGTTAAGTGAAGTAAGCCAATCACAAAAGGACAAACACTGTATGATTCTACTTATAGGAGATAGTTAATCAAATTCATAGAGACAGAAAATAGAATGGTGGTTGCCAGAGACTGGAGAGAGAGAGGAATGGGGAGTTTCTGTTTTGCAAGATGAAAAGAGTTCTGGAGATGGATGGTAGTGATGGTTGCACAACAATGTGAATGGACTCAATGCTTTGAACTGTACACTTAAAAATAGTTAAGATGGTAAATTTTATGTTACGTGTATTTTAGCACAATTTGAAATTTTTTAAATTTCAAAAAATGCACATGGATATTCATAGCAGCTTTGTTTGGAACAGCCAAAAACTGGAGAAAAATTACATATCCTACAATGATGAATGGTGGAACAAAAGGAAGAAACTATTGATGCATTCAACAACTTGGATGTACATCAACAGTATTATGCCGAGTGAAAAAAGCCAATCTCTCTAATTCCATTTATATAACATTCTCAAAATGACAGCATTTTAGATATGGAGAACATACTAGTGGTTGCCAAGGGTTAGGGATGGTTGGGGAAGACAGAAGAGGGAGAATGTGACTCTAAAGAGAAAGCACAAGGGATCTTTGTGATGACAGTTCTGTATCGTGATTGTGGTGGTTATAGAAATCTACACGTGATAAAAATTGTATAGAACTACACACCACCCCCAAGAATGCATGTAAACTGATAAAATCCAAATGAACTCTGTGAACTGTATCAATGTGTACAATGGTTTTGATACTGTATTATAGTTATACAGTTGACCCTTGAACAACATGGGTTTGGACGGCATGAGTCCGCTTATATGCAAATTTTTTCCCATAAATAGTGCTGTACTACATGATATGAGATTGGTTAAATCCGTGGATGCAACACTACGAATTCAGAGGGCCAACTATGGGACCTGATCACCCATGGATTTTGGTATCCGTGGAAGGTCCTGGAGCCAATCCTCTGTGGATACTGAGAGATGACTGTATAAGATGTCACGATTGAGAAAAACTGGGTGAGGGGTGCATGGGACCTTTCTGTCCTATTTTTGCAGCTCCCTATAAGTCTGTAATTATTTCAAAATGAAAAGTTAGGAAAAACAAACAAACCAGAACTTGACTGCTTGGCCATGGGCCAGCAAGTTCCCTTGTGACCTGAGCTGTCCATCATGAACTGGGTGCCATCTGACCCACCAAGCCATAAAGCTGGGCACACAGCAGCACGCCATCATCAAATGGAAGTGGTATATATGAAGCTGGGCTCAAGCAGATCCTGGAGGCACAAGAAATTGTATGATTTCCTCATGACCATGGCCTCTATCTTGCGACATTATCTTCTCTCTCCAACCCCTACCTACAGCTTCACGGTAACCTCCCTCTGACCAGTTGCCTGAAGAGGAAAACTCTTGGGTTCTGCATGGTATGCAAGCATCACCTAAAAGGACACAGCTGCACAACATCTCACTTTGGGAAGGCTCTGCGGGACAGTGATAAAGGGAAATCCTCTCAGTGGGCAGAACTTTGAGCAGTGCACCTCGTTCATTTTGCCTGATCAGAAGCACAGAGCTATACATTTTCATGTGCTGTGGCTAATGGCTTGGCTGGATGGTCAGGTACTTGAAAGGAGTATGATTAGAAAATTCAAGGAAGTCTGACAAGGAGTCTGGGGAGAGGTGTGTCGACAGACTTCTCTAATTTGGCACAGAATGTTAAGATACTTATGTTCCATATGAATGCTTACCAAAGGGTGACCTCCACAGAGGAGGATTTTAATGAGGTGGACAGAATAACCAACCTGTGAATGTCAGTCAGCCTCGTTCCACAGAAATGGACTCAAGAACAAAGCACTAGGGATGGAGGTTACGTTTGGGCTCAGCAACATGGACGTCCACTCACCAGGGCCAGTCGGGCTCCAGCCACTGCTTAGTGCCCAATATTCCAACAACAGAGACCAACACTGAGCTCCCAATATGACCCTACTTCCCGAGGATTAGCCAGCTATCTGGTTGCAGATTGATCACATCGGGCCAGTTCTATCATGGAAGGAGCAGCACCTTGTTCTGACTGGAACAGACACTCTGGATATGGATTTGTCTTCATTGCCCACAATGCTTCTCCCAAAACAACTATCCAGAGCTTTGCTGGAGTTGGGTATGAATAGCTTTTTTATTCTCCTATTTATTCCCCCCCTCGGACCTTCACTGAGACCCTCTCCGTGCTCGTCTGTACCTCACACTTCTGGTTGGGAAGAGTCCGCAGCATCAGCTCCGTTCCGAGGGAGGAGGACGTCACCGGCTCGCGGTCCCGCCGCCCTGTAGGTCCCGACGGTGCCGCCGAGTCCCTGGAGAGAACACCGTGAGCCAGCCCCGCCCACACCGGCCTCCAGCCCAAGCCCCGCCCCTGGGTCCTAACGCGAGGTCCCCCCCGTGGGGGCTGTCCGAGGCTGCGCCGGACTCATCCCACTTTGCTTCCCGCCCAGACAACCCTTCGCTCGGGCCTGCGCTGCGGCGCGGCCCCCTGGCCTCGGAAATTCAGTCTCGGGCCGAGGTCCGCGGCCGTTGGACGAGGAGCAGTCGCGGCAGGCGGTGGGAAGGCTTCCCGGACGGAGGCGCTTGTGGGTCTCCACCATGGCGGCGACGGTGCGCGCTACGGGAATTCTCCCTGTGCTGTGTGGCGCGTCGGCGGGTGAGAGCCAAGACGCTGGGAGCAGGGGCTCTGAGCGGGGCGGGAGTAGGGGTTCGCCCAGGGCCTGCAGACACCCGGGTGGCAAGAAGCCGCAGCCCCGGCCTCTCACGCCCGGCTCTTGTCCCGCTGGGACCTGCTGTGTGACCTTGCACGCGTCCGCATCCTCTCTGGGTCGCAGGGCCCGGGTCTGTAAATTGAGGGTGGACTGGACGCGGTCCAGAGTCTCTTCCAGTTCACCAGGCCGCTCGTGCATGCTCCGTTAAAAGGGGCAGGGTAGTGGCAAGCATCGCCTTCCCCGCGGGCGTTGATTCACAGGTTCATTTGGTGATGTTAATGTGGGGTTCGAGGTGGATGGCGGCCAGCGAAGCTCGAAAGGGAAATAGGCTGTCCTCCAGCTTGAGTCGGATAGGATTAGTGTCAGTTATTTTAGATTCCGGGCTGATCAGTGCCCTTTATTAAAAAGAAGGATGTTTGGAATGTCAGTAGTTTTGCTCTTATTGTCCTCCCCAACCCCTAGTTGGTTGTTTGCAGCCCGAGGAAAGGCAATCTGCTATCCTCCAGCCTGATGTTTATCTCTAGGAACCACTTCGTAATTAATTTGACCTCTATTCGCCCTATTTTATTGAAAACCCACAATCCAGCATTCGTAATTCCGAAATCCAAAGATCTGTAAAAATCGAAAAGTTATTTTTAGTAGCTCATTTTGTTGGGAAACTTGACTTGCAGTTGTTTGTAGGAAAATCTGACCTGAGCATTTTTTACTTTTGTTTATGTTGTGACCACCTCCTCCTTTTCCAAAGCCCCGATCAAATAGCACTTAGCATGTGTAGCTTTCTTTCATGAGCTCTTAGGTGTAGCAGGGACTGTCTTAAACTCTTTATGCTTTTTTCCTTGCTTCATCTTCACAATGCCTTTATGAGATAGATGCCTTTATTATTCCCATTTTACAGATGAAGGAATTAAGGCACACAGCTGTTGAGAAACTTGTTCAGAGTTAGACTGGGAGGAGGTCAGGTTTTTGCACCCACACCACCTGGCTCCAGAGCCTCTTTCTTTCTTTCCTTCTTTGTTTTTTTTTCTTTTTCTAGTGTATAAACTTTTTTTGGTAGTGGCTTTATTGGAATGTAATTTACATACCACAGGATTCATCTTCAAAGTATACAGTTCAGTGGTTTTTAGTGTATTCACAGAGCTGTGCAACCATCACTACAGTCAATTTTAGAACATTTTCATCACCCCAAAAAGAAACCCTGTACTCTTAGCTAGCATCCCCCCAGACCTCCATTGCCCCCAGCCCTGGGCAACCACTAATCTACTTTTTTCTCTATAGTTTGCATGTTCTAGATATTTCATATAAATGGAATCAAGTAATATGTGATCTTTTGTGACTGGCTTCTTTCACTTAGCATAATGTTTTCCAGATTTGTCCATGTTGTAGCATAAATCAGTGCTTAATTCCTTTTTATGGCTGGATAATATTCTGTTGTGTGTAAATACCACATTTTGTTTATCTATTGAGCATTTGGGTTGTTTGTACCCTTTGGCTATTATGCCTAATGTGGCTGTAAATATTTGTGTGCAGTGTTTTTGTATGTACATATATTTTCATTTCTCATGTGTATACACCTTGGAGTGGAATTGCTGGATCAAATGGCGACTCTATGTTTCACTTTTTGAGGAACTGCTAGACTGTTGTCTAAAGTAGCTGCACCTTTTGACATTCCCACCAGTATGAGGATTTTTATTTCTCCACATCCTTGTCAACACTTGTTATTTTCTGTCTTTTTGGCTGTAGTCATCCTAGTGGGTGTGAAGTGGTATCAATTGGTGGTTTGGGTTTGCATTTCCCTGATGGCTAATGAACGTCTTTTTTGTGCTTCTTGGCCATTTCTATATGTTCTTTGGAGAAATGTCTGTTCTAATCTATATCCATTTTTAAACTGGGCTGTCTTTTTATTAGTGAATTGTAAGAGTTCTTTATATTTTCTAGATACAAGTAAGTCCCTTGTCAGATAAATGATTTGTAAAAATTTTCTCCCCATCTGTGTGTTGTCTTTTCATTTTCTTGATAGTGTCCTTTGAAACACAAAAGTTTTAAATTTGGATAATGTCTAATTTACCTGTTTTTGGTTTTTGTTGCTTATGCTTTTAGTGTCATATCTAAGAAACCATTGCAAAATCCAAGGTCATAATTGTTTACTCTTACGTTTTATTCTAAAGGTTTTATAGTTTTTCCTCTTACCTATAGGTCTTTGGTCCATTTTGAGTTAAGTTTTATGTATGGTATAAGTAGGGCTCCAACTTCATTCTTTTTGCATGTGGATACTCAGTTGTCCCAGCATCATTTGTTGGAAAGAGTATTCTTTCTCCGCTGGTTTTTCTTGGCGCCCTTTTCAAAAATTAGTGTCCAGTGAATGCTGTCAGAGCCTGTTCTGAAGTACCGTACTGTGTGAAGTGGTAACACCGTACGGTTACAGCCTGGCGCTGCAGGGGCTCCTGATGGAAGAGGGGAGCAGAGTGCTGTGGGAATTGGGGAGCCTTCACCGAGAGGTGGTGTTTCAGGCAAACCAGGAGAACCTGTCAGAGACACACTAAAGGATTCAAGAGCTGAGTGTGTTCCATACTGACTGCGAGTCTGGTGTGGCCAGAGGGGGGTGGAAAGGAGAGTGGTGGAGATGAGGCTGACGTGGAAGGTTGGGGCCAAGTCGCAGCCCTGTAGGTGATGCCGAGGAGTTTTGAATTTGTTCTGCAGATAGTAGGGAGCCAAAGAATGATATATCAGGGCTGTGCGGTGACTAGACTTGTAGTTTTAGAAAGGCCTGCCTGTTACCAAAGGGAAAAGGGGAGGGGGGTAAATTAGGAGTTTGAAATAAGCAAAAAACAAAGAGAGAAGGGCCTGCTTGACAGCAGATGGTGAATTAGAGGGAGACTGGAGGCAGACTGGAGACCTGTTAGGAGACTGTCAACAGGAGACTGTCCTTACCATGTGGCTGAGGGATGGAGCTTGAACAAAGAGGGGCAGTGAGACTGTAGGAGGGTGTGTAGCTGAGAGGTGGATTGATTTTTGAGGAGAATCCATAGGGCTTGGTAACAGGTCAGATGTGAGAGTGAAGGAGCCGATGTGATGTGATTTCATTTACTTGGGCAAGTGGTCATGGAGCCGAGAAATTACTCATTTACTTGTCTTGGTTCTTTTATTCTATAGATAATACTATTCTTTAGGTGTTAAAAAATGTTCCTTTTCATGTAGAAATGGATCTTAATTTTTTTTTTTTAATTTATAGGTCATTTATGGTCCAGGCAGCTTTACCTAAACAGCTTTCCAACAGCTTCCATTTTGGCATTGAAGACTGTTCCCAGCAATGGTGAGATTTATTTATCTAACTACCTTTTCTTATAAGAGCTAGTGTTAAGAGTACTTTATGTAGTTTTTAAAAATGTAAAGGAATGAAGTACGTTCTTTGTAATAGAAATGGTTAAGGTCTAAAGAGTATTTTTCAAACTTTTAATGATTACAGCTGTTATAATTCAAGGCTTTAAAAAATAATAGCCATGATTTATTGAGTAATGACTGTGTCAGGTTAATAGTATGTTATCTTGGTTAATCCTCACACCAGTTTTTATGAGGAGTTGTTATTCCCATTTTACAGATGCTGAAGTGAGTCTCTGAGAGGCTAAGTGACTTGCTTTAAGGTCACACAGCCAGTAATGGCAGGACTGGGTCCTGAGCTGTCTCGGATACTGTGATGTGTTCTGGAAGCACAGTGTTTGTAGAAGGGGTGGGAAGAGTGCCAACCGGTGGAATGACTGCACAGTTCTCGGCTCCTCCACTTTCTGCCTGTGCAACCATGAACTAATGACACCCCTTGGACCCTCAGTTTCCTCTTCTATAAAATGAGGATGGTAGTTCCTACTTTAAAGATTGTTATCTTAAAACATTGTACTTCCGAAGAGTACTAAAAGGTTTATATCTTAAAACCACTTCCCTTTTCTAGGACTTCTCATCTTCCAGTGACACTTTAACTTCCATCTGGTTATATTTCTAAACAGATAGTGTATATACTTGTTCTTTTCTCTGGTAACATCGTTATGCTAATTGAAGATTTAATTAGGCACCGTCCCTGCTTTTTCTGAGCATAGCTGTAAGCACAATTTTGGTCGAATCTGTAGGCAGTTACGTATGTTCTTCACAGCCGAGCTAGGTAGTACGGTTGACCCTGTACGACCAGAACGGGTTTGAACTGCCCGGGTCCAATTATATGTGGATTTTTTTCAAGAAATAAGTACTACAGTACCATGCAATTCGAGGTTGGTTGAATCCAAGGATGTGGAATCGCAGATAGGGAAGGCCAACTATATGTTATACGTGGATTTTTAACTGGTGGGGGGGGGGTCAGTGCCCATCACCCTCACGCTGTTTAAGGGTCACCTGTATTCTCTTACTATGTTTCCTTTCTCCTACAACATTTTCTTTTTCCTAGAGTTAGTAATTGCCTTGTTTTTAAAAAATTGCTTTGTATTCTTTGTACCTGTTGCAGTATTTTCCTAAAGGCTGCAACAGATTGGTCAGAAATAGCAATAATTTTTCTAAAATCCTTGAAACACATCACTAATTAACAGTTGGATTTAATAGAAGAGATTTAAATTAGAAGGAAGAAATTCTTCATGGTGAAAACTGTTAAACAATGAAGTGAAACCTTCAAGGGCAGACTCTGTCTTTGAAGAAGTCCACCCAAGGGAGCTTCCTGGGCTTGGCCCTCTGTGGACTCCATGCTGTTCCTGAGATGGAGACTTCATGGTCGAAATTAATAAGCATTCAGAGGATCAGAGCAAAATTGTTAATTGATCGTTGGTGGATGATAATCTGTAATTGGACTTCAAATGTGATTTAGCATGAGCTGCTGCCACCTCCTGTTTTAGAAAGCACAATGCAATTTGAGCAAACTCAGTTGTAGCAACAGTACATTGAAAGAGATTATTTCTGAATTCTGAAGTTGATTTCTTTCTACTTTTGACAGTTGGACCTTTGTAAGCTAACTACGTTATTATTTGTGAATAGTATTTTGGTCTTTAGAAAAAGATTAAAGAATTCTAAATTTGATGGTAGTGATTTTTACACTCTTAAAGTATGTCAAGGATTGTAGTTCTAAACTACAAGAATAAATTCATGTGCACTTGATATTTTGTTGAAGATTGAGAAGGTTACAAGAAAAATTAAAATGTGTCCAACATAATGGGATTTAGAATGATTATTAAAGATCTGAATTTATTTAAAATGAAAAGCCAGTATTTTCTATATACTTTTAATTGAGTAATTTACAAAGTAAGCTAATAGGTCCAGAGAGACCTCACTATGTCATCTGAGCCAGCCTCCAGAAGTTTTATTTTTTAAAGAAAGACTGTCCTCAAAATATGATTCTTAGGGCTTCCCTGGTGGCGCAGTGGTTGAGAGTCCGCCTGCCGATGCAGGGAACACGGGTTCGTGCCCCAGTCCGGGAAGATCCCACATGCCGCGGAGCAGCTAGGCCCGTGAGCCATGGCTGCTGGGCCTGTGTGTCCGGAGCCTGTGCTCCGCAACCGGAGAGGCCACAACAGTGAGAGGCCGTGTACCGCTAAAAAAAAAAATATATGATTCTTAAAAGTTCAGGATTTTAGTGACTTATTTTTATTAGTAACAGTTAATTTTTTGGTGCTGGCAGTGTTTCTCCATAGGAGTGGAGCATCTAACAAAGTTTTATTCCATCTACCTGCAGGCTCTTTGTCATCTCCAGGAACCAGAGACAGCCGTCATCTTATCAGCTTGACCCGTGCGCTACAGACACAGTGCTGTATTTCTTCTCCCAGTAACTTGATGGGCCAACAGTATAGATTCTATAGTTTCTTCACTAAATGTACGTACACTGGCTACAAACTTCCCATTTCATGAAACAAGAAAATAAAAGGTGCTTTTGTATCTTAATTTTTTTTCTTTTTCTTTTTCCTACTTAAATGAATTAACACTTCAGAGATTAATATATGATGTACAGGCATACCTCATTTATTGCACTTCACTTTATTGTGCTTTGTGGATATTGCGTTTTTTACATATTTAAGGTTTGTGGCAACCTGTGTTGAACAAATCTATCTGCACCATTTTTTCCAACAGCATTTGTGTGTTGTCTCTGTGTCATATTTTGGTAATTCTTGCAATATCTCAAACTTTTTAGTTATTATTATATTTGATATGGTGATATGTGATCAGTGGTCTTTGATGTTGCTACTGTGACTGGCTGAAGATTAGCATTTTTTAGCAGTAGAGTATTTTTTATTTTGATTTTTTTGAATATTTTTAAAATTAAAGTGTATATATTGTTGTTTTAGACATAATGCTATTGCATGCTTAAGACTGCAGTATAGTATAAACAACTTTTATAGGCACTGGGAGACCAAAAAATTTGTGTGACTCACTTTATTGTGATATTTGCTTTGTCGCAGTGGTCTGGAACCAAACCCACAATTTCTCCAAGGTACGCCTGTGCTATTCAAATAAAAATGTTCCTCCATGTACCTCCTAGAATTATCTTACATGCTACCAGTTATACTATACACACTTTTGGGAGTACTAGTTTACTTTAATCCCCTCATTTGGGGCACCTGAGGTCTAAAGGACCTGTGGAATTCCTGGAATTCCAGGATGGAATTGTGGCCCAAATCCCTGCTGATTTAGATTCACACCAAGAATATACTCAAAATCTGTTTTCAGTTGCACTTCAGTTGAGGAGATAGGACTAATCAGGAAAAGTTAATTTTAAGTAGATGTTGTTTTACTAATATTACTCCTATCTGAGATAGTATTTGAGAGTCCAGTCTGAACTGAAATTAGCTTGTAATAAATGGAGATTGAATCCACAATTCAGCATTAGGCAAATTAAAAGAAATTAGGATTATAAAGCCAATTCATTTTAGACTATTTGGTAAATACAGAATGAAAAAGCAAAAAAATCACTTGTAATTCTACTACCCTGAAATCCTGGATTTGCTGCTTTTTTCATACAGCAGTACGCTATACATTTTCCCATGACAGTACATGGGCTTCTCCAGTGCAGTGTCATAACTGTAGAATATTTCATTGTGTGGGTACAGATCACTTTAATTTGGATTAAATTAAATAATGACCTACTAGGTCATTCGTGTAGCTATGCAGAAAAGAGGACCAGATGATGGGGAGTTGCAAGTAACAGTCTTCCTTGTATCAGAGGATTTTGGTGTAAAGAGAAAAGAGAGGTGGGTAGAGTTGGAGCCATGAGGCTCTTCCTTGGTGCCCTCAGCCCCAGTGTTTTCTAAGAGCTGACTTTGTGCTTTGATGGTGGTGGTTGTAGGGTGTTGGGCGGGTGTATATCAGACTTACAGCCCCAGTGTTTTCTAAGAGCTGACTTTGTGCTTTGATGGTGGTGGTTGGGGGGTGTTGGGCGGGTGTATATCAGACTTACAGGCCTTTTTAAAAATAGTCTTTTCCCTGCCCTGAAAGGCCTTTTCTCTAACTCTTCTTGTTCTAGAGGTGCCCTTTGCCTTCTGAGACCACTCACACTTGCCTCTGACTCTCCATTAGCCTCCCTTCTTTCTCAGTCATAGGACTCTGTACCCTTACGAGTTTATTGCTCCCAAGTCAGGGCGGGGTGGGGGTGAACTCAGTTGAAACCAGCATATGGGGCTAGTTTTTGCTGTTTTAATAGGAAATAGTCTTTGACTTTCTAAATCTCTTCCAAGAAATAAAAAAACAAACATAATTTTTTCAAAACTCATTAAGATTTCTAAAAATGTTTAACATTGTATTTGTAAATCTATCCTTCTGCCATAGAGGGTCCACCATTAAATGGTGGAGTCTTTTAAATCTTCGTCTTAATATTGTTTCTTTTAAAATTGAATCCCTTTTAGTCTTAATGAGTGATTTGCTTATTCTGATTCTAAGAGAAACTGTAATTGATTGACCTCCTTATGCCTCCATTAAAAATGCTCTCACTGTGAACTTTCAAGTTTTTGATGGCATTTATAGATACCATCATTTTTAAGCAATTAGGAAAGAAAATCAGTCTTTAGTGAGAGTTTAGTTTGAGGTTGGTAATTTTATTTCAAACCTGTGGTTCTTTTAAAAGAATCAGTGTCAGTCTAAAGTTTGAAGTTAACCCTTTGCTTTGATCAGGGATACACAAAGCAGCATGTGATGTGGAAGCTTACTTATTTTGTGAGCTTCAGTTATGCAGATCATCTGTAATAATGCATTTGTATGTTTAAAAACAGGGTACTGTATAGCTATAAAGCATTAAAAAATATTATAAATCCAAAGCATTTTCCCCTTTTCATGTTATCTACCCGAAGGATCAAGGTGTAAGGCCTTTCAGGAGGCTAGCAGGTAGAACTTTCATTTTTATTTTTATTATTTTTAAAAATTTTTATTGGAGTATATTTGCTTTACAATGTTGTGTTAGTTTCTATACTGTACAGCAGAATGAATCAGCTATATGTAAAATATATGTCCCCTCTTTTTGGGATTTCCTTCCTATATAGGTCCCCACAGAGCATTGAGTAGAGTTCCCTGAGCTATACAGTAGGTTCTTATTAGTTATCTGTTTTATGCATAGTATCAACAGTGTATATATAGTGTATATATGTCAATCCCAATCTCCCAATTCATCCCACCCACCCACCCCCTTACCCCCTTGGTATGGTAGAACTTTTAAAGCTTAAGGGCTCAGAAGAGGAGAATGAAGATACTCATTTGAGTTCTAGAATATGTTTAATATTTCAGGCATGTAGATATATATATCTTAGATTTTTGACTAGTACAACATTTGTATGGCTCTGATTCTTTATTAAATTGGTAATGGAACAGTCTGTGGTCATAAAATCAATTGGTGGTACTGTGAAAGGTAGAAGTCCTTGTGAAGACAATTTAAATCTAATAAACAACATAGCTATACCAATAAAATTCAGAAGTGGGCAAGAGTAAAGAATCTGAATATTCCACAAGTACAAAGGGGAAAATACTGCTTGCAATGTATGATAGAAAAAGATCTGGGGACCCTGGAGATTCACAAATGGAAATAAATCAGCAGTGTCAGGGTCTATATATAAAGAAAAAGACAACAGCAATGATTTAAGAAATACACACATACACATGCAGGTATTAACTATCAGACCTCTACATACTCATTCTTTTGCAAGTATTGGTTAGGCTATAATCAGACTTGAAGGTGAATTTGGGCATCTCATTTTGAAGGATATACAGAGATGTTTAGGGCATTTACAGAATAGAACAAACAATCCAAATTATTAAGATTTTTGGGTTCAAACTGCAGTGTTGGTACTTTGGGCTAAGAGATCTGTATTTTGGAAGTCTAGTTACTGATTATCTCAATAGTTATAATGGAGGCAAGAGGGCAGGGAAGAGACCGGTCACACAGTTGTTAAAATGTCTGGGAAACAAATCTAGTGGAAAGTAACAGGGATTGAAATATGCTTGTCTTTTGTGGGGGAAGGCCATATTCTGTAAAAGGAGTAGAATCGCTTCCTCTTGGGCTTTCCAAATGTAACCGTGTGATGTGTGCAAAGAATGTTTCAATTTTGCTTTCATTGCCGTAATGATATGTGACCCGACTTCTTCCAGCCTTTTGTATTCAACAGGACTAAATAGACCGTAGATCATTTCTTGAAGAAATTTTTTAAAACCTGTTTCTTTACAGTGACAGCAGATGAGCTGTGGAGAGGTGCCTTAGCAGAGTCTGGTGCCGGAACAAGAAAAGGAAGAGGCAAAAGAACTAAGAAAAAGAAAAGAAAGGATTTGAACAGGGGTCAGATCATCGGTGAAGGTAAACTTATATATAAAAACAGCTAATGTGTTTTCTAAGATTTTTTCTCCAAAATTTTATAGATATTTTACAAACTAGAAGCATAAAACATTTCTCATGAAGGGTATTAGGTTCTGTGATTTTAGGGTCCAGCCAAATGGCTTATTGCCCCATGATTCAGGGAAAGGAAAATCCCATAGAAAGGGATTCATTCATTTAGTTATTCATTCAACAAGCCTTAAATGCCTTTTTTTTTTTTTTTTTTTTGGG